CTGCTGTGAAAACTTGTTATAGATCAGAAATGTTCTACATCCTCTTTCTTTTGAATTATGTTCAAAGAGATGTTGAATTTTAATAGCGCTATGTGAAAGAGCTGAGTGAAATCTCACTGAAGCTGCTGGACAAAATCATCACCTTTCATTCAAGATAAATGTAAGAAACAAGCAAACTCTTTTATGAAGCCTGATAACTGAAATTACAGAAGTTATCATCAAAAACAAGAGAAACATGAAGCATATGGACTTGTGAGTTTCTCTAGAAACTGATATGCTTAATGCAGAGCAAGAGCATTAATCAAGGCAAGATGATTAATCCTGATAAGCAGCATAAATGTGTAAAAGGAATAAAGAAACCACCAGCACAGCTCAACAAACTAGCATTGTGATCCTGGTAGAAGAAAAGCTGAAAGAGAGGTTGGGGGTAAAACACTGGGTGAATGAAGTTTGGAAAATAGAAGTTATTGACTGTTATTTGATTCTGTCTTTGTTCAAGAAAATAAAACTCTGTTCTTTCTTTGTAAATAAAATGGAACTCTATCAAAGCAAAACCCTGTCCTGAGGATGAATTTTCTTTCCAGCTGAGAAGAAAACAATCCACAGACCTGACAAATTGTTTAACCACTCAGGTAAAAATGGATTAATACCATGTGAGGACAGTCATCCAGTTTTCGAGAAACGGAATCGTGAGGTGGAATTCCCACTGAACAAGAACAGAATCAATGAAGGATGTATTTCTCAGAAATAGTAATTGGTAAAAGATGAAAACAAGACCAGATAAAATTAAAAGAAGACTTAAATCAGCTGGAGGCTTTTCAAAATTAATTAAAGTAGTGGCTGGAAAATTTCCAGAGTGGTCCAAGAGATGACAAGCGGGTAGAGATGAAATCTCTGCTTGAGCCGCAAACACAGAGCATCCAGACAGATTAAGAAGCCCTGTGGCAAAACAGATCAATGAGATGACTGACAACACAACTCCTGCAGGCTAGAAAGTTTTCAAAGAAATAGGTAAGCCAGGGAAGTTGGAACTAACTTGGCACTTGATGACTTAGGGAAGCTATGCCAAGAATCTAAGGAGCTGGCAAAGTAAACTGGAGGGACACAGATAACCATGGAGGTATTTTGCCATTAGAAAAGTCAGTGTAAAACTATTGCCTTTTTATCATTATTTTTCTTGCAACATACACAAATTCAAACGCCATTTGAAAATAACCAATATCCAGGCATTTGGACCATCTCCAGCTCAAACACTGTGCCTCTGAAAGAAAAACTTCTGTCAAGCTGATCTCTCAGGTCAACTTGGAAACCCAAATGAATAGAAAGTTTTACAGAAAATTCTGAGACTGATGGCCAATTCTAGTGGCTCAAGTTAAATGGTACTAAAGAATGATACCTGCTCTTCTCCACCCTACCAAAAAGACTAGTGAGATCAATGGAACTGGTGCTTCTCAATCCCATAGTGGTACTAGGCTTGGATCACACAGAATCACAGAATCACTGGATTGGAAGAGACCTTTAAGATCATCAAGTCCAACCCAGCCCTAATACCTCAACTAAACCATGGCACTGAGTGCCACATCCAGTCTTTTCTTAAACACATCCAGGGATGGTGACTCCACCACCTCCCGGGGCAGGCCATTCCAGAACTTTATCATCCTTTCTGTGAAAAAACCTTTTCCTAATATCCAACCTGTATTTTTCTCTTGGTGTAGCTTAAGACCTCACCTGTATTAAGAATGCTAAACTGCATGAGCCTGGACCGAGCACCATCAATGTATGAAGAAGCTCTGCCTAGTTTGAGAAAGCAAAGGCACTGAGCTAACTATGATCTTTGCTTGGATCTGGGCAACTCAAATACAGTAAATGGGAATTTGTTTGCTAAGTGTCTAACAGCACTTGCACTAAAATACTGGGCACTGGATCAACATAACAGGTTTTAGAGGGGCCTGGCAGTAAAACTAGAAAAAGATTGCCCACAACTAAACCTACAAAGTATTGTGACATTCCACAAATCCATTCATAGCAGGCCAGACTACTTGCTACTGTAGACGTAGTCACTGACTGGTGGGAGAATATAATGAAAGCTTAAGAGAAAGCCAGTTTAACAACTAGATCTGGAATAAGAGCATGAAATGCAGACAGCACAGATCAGAAGCAGTTTGGATTTCATTGTGGATATCAGCTGTGTTGTGAGTGCCAAGAAAGTTGCCTTACACTTTCAAGTAAAACAAATGCTCTGTAGACAAGAGTTTTCTAGAAGTCAGCTTGAAAATCCTTCAGGAGTAGAAACAATTACAACAGGTTCTTGCTGGGGCAACCTTTCAGCCAAGACACAACGAAGTGGCTGATGCCCACTGTGGACCCTGACTGATGGGAATCTCAGCAGCCAAATCTCTGCAAAAATAGGAAGCAATACATCCAGTAAATATTGCCATGGAAGGTGATGTCAAGCTCCAAGAGTTTCTGTTGGACTTGCTAAAGCATGACATTGTGCATTTAGACAAGGAACAGCAGAAGAGTCCCAGATCTCTCTGGAGTCAGTCGCTCTTCTCACTATCAGTCAGAAAACTGCTTCACTGAGCACAAAAAGGGGAAAACAGCAATGGAACTCTGCAACAGCTGGCATTAAGTGGAGGAGGGAGAGGGAGGAGAACCACTGAGAAGATGTATCAGGAATGAATAATTGAATCATTAAACAATCCCTGGTGGCAGCATCATGGAGACACCATAAACTACAGAAAACTGTATCCAAGTAAATATCAACTGATTATGCCCTGAGAGGAGTTATTTCCATAGCAAGTTCAGATTTCCTATGCTTTACATTAAAATAGGCACAATTAGATGAAAATAGAAATTAACTTTTCTCCTGCAACTGGGCATAAACTGCAACATGTTCAAGCCATGGCTTTTGACTTGTACACTGGATCTTCTTCATTTCTGTGGTGGTGGATGCAGTGTTCTGCAAGGACCTCATCTCTCTTGGCCTGTTTATTACATGTGGTTGATACCCTGGGCTGTGTAAAAGGTTTGGGACAAGAACTGGCACATTGAGGTGTGATCTGCAGGAAGTTTAAGAAAAGTGGGTCATGGACCAAACCAGGACACTGGCATAGGTAGATTGTTATGTTGAAGTGACAGATATCATCAAAATAAATGTCAAAAACCACCTTTTCTATGGAACCTAACAGAAGAAATAGTAAAAGAGCATCACATCAGAAATGCACACAGCCACACTCAAACCAAAGCTGAACCACGGCTCCCAAACAGCTTCTGAGGAGATGTTTACAGCAGATCTGCTGGGGAGCTGGAGGGAACTTTCACTGATGGATTACTGGAAGAGAAATAGCAAAAAGAGCAGAAAGAAAGTGAAGACACTTCCACACAACATAGCATGAGGAAAGAAAGTAGAGATCTTTTAAGTATGAAGTAGTATGAAGAAGATTGCGCCACAGAACAAAGAAACAAAATTGTAGTCTCTGCGACCATGCAAACAGGGTGCCAAACTTTTCAAACTGATGTGGGAGAAGAAGAAAAGATATCCTTCACACTATGCTTGTATGATTAATTCTGATTTCTTCAATGCTTACTCAAAGTGGGCTTCTTAAATGCCATATTTAAAAATGAGAACATATATTCTTCAACATGTAAATGGTCATTTACAGGTCAAAGTACACACAATGTAGATGTACAAATATGAAAAATTAACAATTAAAAACCTGGGCCATAGAAATAATAAAATGTCATTAAAGAATAGCTAACATACTATTTGATTTTGCATGTATAACTTAACAAATACATTTTCAAATATCATGCCTTTAGAATGAACCCATGTGCCAAGGAAAAAAGATGAGTCTTCTCAATTCTAGATAATTACCAAACAGTGAAGACAAAAATCACAAGCTACTTGAAAATTTAAGCCAGACCAAAAGCTCACCTCACTTCAAGCAGAAAGCATTTGCTCTGCCCTTCTAGAAAACAGTCCCAAAATATCTTGGACTAAATACTTCAATATCCATGCACCCAAAATTCAACAACTTTTTTGAAAATGTCTTGATAACTCATCAGGAAAATCATGACATGAAAAGAGTCTTCAATAGGGATCAGTTATTACTTTCTAAGGATAGGTCAAGTGATACAGATGAAGAGATGATTTCAACAGATGCAAGCTCCTAAAATACAATGACACTTCTGAAACTGTCACACAGACAGTCTCTTCAGAACAAAAACTTCTAAACTCATAATGAAAAACAAAAAATAAAAGCATATGTTCATGTTGATAATAAGCCCCAGTTGGCCTCCTCCCCAGGCAGCTTCTGTAAACTTTCAGACACAGTTCTGTACTTCCAAAGGAATATCTAACACTCGTATCCATCACACCATCACACACATCTACCCTGGCATGTGCGCTGGTCCAAACCTGAGAGCTGCACCAGCACTAAAACACCTGCATGCAAAGTAAGCTCCTAATTGTGCATCAATAACTACTCCACTTAGCCCCAGTCCTGCAAAGAATTCTGCCTCTACTTAAATTTATGCATCTGGGTCCTAACTGCCTGTGGCAGGGGAAATGCATAAGGATTTAAGCATATTGCAGAACTGGGACATGTGTGGAATAGATTTCAATGGAAAATTCATGGCACTGGGTCTTGGGTCCTTTCTGATCTGGAGAATGACAATGAATTCTGGCTACACTCTTCAGGCCCTCTGAAAATCACTGAATTCTTGGCAGTAATTTAGTTACAGAGACCAGGCACTAAAATATGAATATTTTGCCCAGAGGTTCTCAGTATAATTTTCAGATAAACTATTCCTTAGCAAGGCTTGTATTACACATAAATGGCTTGAATATCCATGTACTACATTTTAAAAGGCATTTGAATGAAGGTTATTCCACCTACAGTGACTCAAGCACAACATACTTTTACACAAATTACATTTCAAGAAGCATAGGAAAACTTGTGACATAAATTCAGTTTTCAAAAAGATGTTTAACTTACCTGCCAGAAGTCAGCAACAGTAGCAGGGAGAGGTCCCTGGGTGGCAATATATGCAGGGTTTCGGGGGTCATGGTCCATCTGGAATAAGGAAGAAGAACAGAGACTGGGTTTATTTAAAGGAAATCCCTTGTAGTGTTAGAGACAGAAAGTATGCAAGGGCAGAACAAGGGACATCCTAAAGGACTGTCATGTCCCTCCACCCTTTATTAGCAAGCAAAGTGTTTTATTTCTATTTGTAAGCTCAGAGGAGAACAGTTTTCCCCCAAAAGACTGACGACACCAGACACACATGATGAGCAATGTCCCATGTCCTCAATATGGAGGGAAAGATCATTTGTGGTGGCTGACAAAGCCATTTATTTGAGATCAGTACTCATGGTTTCATAGCAACCTAGGAGCCTTTTGAAACATTTTTCTACACTGAATGTTAAGAATGCTCCACACATGTAAATATGTTCTCCATTTCCACCATGCCAGTCAAGGGCACATGTAACTAAAAACCAGCGAAAATGGGGAACAAATTCAGTTTCTGGCTTTTTCTGGTTAGCTGATTTATCTAAATGCATGGATTTGGCCTCAATGGAGGAAGTTCTGCTTAAGGACCTTAATTATTACGTTTAATTCAAGGAGCAGAAAATTCACTGAGCAGAAAAAATAAAGAATCTAAGAAACAAAGCCATCAGGAGTAAATAGGATTAGTGTGTTACAATGAATGTTTTCAAACTGATGGGTGGTTTTCCTGGTTCTAAATCTTAGGATCCATTCTGCTGAAAAAGAAGATCTGCTGATAGGATTAAAAAACAAACAAACTCATTCTAACCCTGAACTGGGCAGGACAAAACTTTGAACATAAAGAAAAGAGACCCATTTCAGCTCTGAGATGTGTGGGTGTGACTCAGTGACACTGAAGTCGGTGAGAGTTAACTTATACCCATGTAGCTGAAGGCAGAATTTGTCTCCATACACAGTTTCTATCTTATAAGTAAAGATCTGAATAAGAATGAATGTGAGTCACATTTGCATTAACAGGCATCTCCTGAATTTATTCATAGCCTATCAAAATCTTCAGTGATGGTACATGTCAGCGTAAAAAAGGCACCTCATAATTATGTGCAACATAAAAGAGGGAAGAGCCATAAAAGAACAGATGTAAGTTATTCTAACAGAACAACAATATGATGAATGTTGCAAAAAGGAAGATAACACTTTTATGTTTCTAATTTTCTGATGTATAATTAAGCTGGACTTAATATCAAATTCTCCATGACAACACAACACAGGTAAAAGTCACTGAACCCATTTAGACTAAAAGCTTACTTCTGATTCACCACCCATCGTTACAAAAAAAAAAAAACAAACTTGACCAGGATGTCTATAATAGCATCATTTTATTCCAAGTTTCATTGGGATGCTTCTCTTATCAGCAAATAAATCTTCCCAACAAGCAATTGCTCACAAGAAATTTCAACCTTGCTTTCTTTGCCTTTTGACAAAAGCAGTTCTGATAGCAGGACATTTATTACCGTGGGTATTTTGAGACCAAGGAAAAGTAGCTTTCTTCAGAAATCAGTATTAACCAAAAAAGCCCTTAGGAAATATTTCAAAAGGGGCAACTTTTTTGTTTTGTTTTGCTTTGTTTTGTTTTGTAAGAATTGAGACACTGAACCAAACACAGCTGAAAACAACAGCAAATGTGATTGAGCAAAGTCAAGCTTAAAAGCAGAGGTTTTTTTTATTAATTCTCCATTACAGTTTAAATGATTTACTGTTGTTTTGTTTTGAATCCTAAAGATCTACAAGATTTAAATTTGTGGTGAAATGATTTCCTATGCTGGAACTAAAAATCTTAACTAGGAAAAATTGAGCTACACCAAGGAGGATGTGCTACTCCCAGTGGAAATTGTCGTGGGCTGCATCCACTCAAAAATGATGTCACTTCTCTACAAGCTAGAGTTTGGCTTGGAAATGTAACCAACATTAAATACACCAAACTTTAGAAAAAAATATAATTTACTTTGAATTCTTCCTAAACGATTTTTTTTTTAAATGTAGACATGCCAGAAAACAAGATGATGCAAATAGTGCTGTCATGGAGGAAATACATCTCAACATTCAGCTGATAAATCAGGAATAGGCCAATCTTGGCATTTCAGCATTAATCAGCCTCTGTCACAAAGGTGCTGTTGGAACGTGGCAAACATTACAATCAGCACAGAGTGGTGAAGTATATCAGCAGTTTAACAATAATTCAAAAGACAATTACAATTATTACATTCCAAGCACATTGTGTTGCACAAAAAACAATTATGAGCAGAAACTCTTCTTGCTTGAAGCAAATAGAAAATGGCAGAAAATGCTATCACACTATTAAATGATCTTTAACTGAACAAAAATAAGAGCAAAGTTTAAACTAATTAAATGAAATTCCTGGTTTCATCAATTTTGTATTACATGCACTGCTTAAAAGACCATGTATTTCAAGAAAAGTGTGAAAAATCCCTAGTCTGGTCACATTCAATTTAATATGAGTAGGTGATGGCAAGGAACAATTCTTGAATGTTTTTGCTTTGTTCTTTTTTATTCTCTCAAGGTCAGCAAGAACACCAAGGGCATCTTAATCTATCAAAGTTAACAGAAGTTTGAATAAAGAAATAAAGTCAGTAATGGGTTTTAAACTAACTAATCAAGGATCAAGTAAAAGGCTTTTTTTTTAATGTCAGTAGTCATTATCTTCTTTCAAGGATCCCTCAGATTTCTCACTTCATGAAAATAAAATAGAAAATGTATTCTCCAGAGAAGAATGGAGAACTCCAGACTCCATACAATCAAGTATTAAAACAAAAATTGATTGTTTGCTAACATTTTACATCAGAACAACCTTCAGAAATCACCCTAATAGTAATTGTTCAAAAAGAACATGATTTTTCCCTCTATTTCCCCATCAAAGCACCAAGTTCACAAGACTTACATCAGAATGGGATCGAACAGCCATTGTTGGAAAGAAAAACCTACAATTATTACAACTGTTCTACTATGGTGGAATTCTCATTTTCTGCTGCAGTACAGCAAAGGCAAGTCTGGTGATAATGTTTCAATCTATTTTTCCATGATTTTACATTAGGGGTCAAGGATTACTATAACTGGCCATGCAATTGATTGTGCTGATTTCCATCACTACCAGTATCAAAAGCAAATGAAAAGAAAAATGAGGAGCACTGAGATTTCTTCTTGGAAAATAAAAACTAGAGAAAACTTTAGTGGCACAACTTGTGTTTTCCTACAGGGCTTTGTAGTTTAAGCTAACTTACGGTGCCATAAAGTAGGAAAATATATGAAAAACATTATCACAACTGGTTGCATCTTGTTAATATCAGACCAGGATTTCACTTTTGCTTTACTGCTGAATAAAAGCTGGTTCTTCCCTCACGAGTTTTATTATCCAGCTGCCTTAGGATTCTAAGACTTTGCAAGAATTCCCTGAAGAATGCTGAATTTTGTTGAGTTTTTGATAGCAATTGTGCTGCTGCATGATTTCAGTGATAATGCTGATGAAATACAGAAAAATCAATACGTTGTGGAAGTAAATCCTTGAAAGTGGTACATGTAGATTCTTGTTAAGCAGTCTTGTAAAACTGCAAACTGAAGTAGAAGTGTCAATAGGTATCAATGATCATTTTGAAATTTAATGTAAATGATAATACTGCTGAATTCCTTCCCTTTACCTTCCCCTTCAGCTTGTCAGATCTTTTCAGAGAGAAGGATGCTGGGTGAGATGTGGTCTCAGTCACACCATATTTACCTTCATTTAAAGCCTCTGAGTCCATCTGAAATATTCCTGAATCATGAGATCAGAATGAAATCCAGTGTAGACCAAATATAACAGAAAGGAAGTTGAAATCTGATTAACACCTTAAAAATTTGTATGGATTCAAGTTTCTGTGTGGTTTCCGTACTTAATTTGTTTACAACACCAAGAAAATCTACTTCCATGCATATATTTATTACACAAAGTATAGACAGTCTTTAAAGAAGAAGTGTATTTGTTTTTGCAAAAGAAAGCATATCCAGCAAATGCAGATGAACTTTGTAATCATTCATCTCACCATTAAAATTAAAAAGGTAGACTAGTCCTCATCTTCATGTTTGAATTAAAATTTAAAACAAATTTTTTAAATCCTTCCTTTTAAGCCCCTAATGGAATGAAAGAAGAAAATCTGGTTGCCTATGCCATTATGAATTTCAGAGTCTATTCTTGCTGATGAAATTTGTATGCTGTATTTGAACAAACTGTCATGCTAATGACATTCCTCAGTCTGGTGTCTTCAATAATAAGCAAACTGAGTTTTAAAATGTAGTTGATGGGATTTTTTTCTCTCTCAGACACCCTATGAGGAAAAACAGAATTTCCCATTTACTTTCATGACCTCTGATTTAAAAGCAAAGATTGCACATTATTTACTACTGGATGATTTTCCTGAAATTTAATGAGGACTAAGTACAAATATGACAGAAGTAATTATCACAGTTTTATTCTGCACAGTCAGGGTCTCCTTGTGCTGTAATTGCAAGCCTTTCATTCAGCTGCCGATACCAGAGTTATTATCATAGTACTTTATGTTATTTCAGAGAGGAGGAAAACAGATTTCTACCTCACTTTTACCCTGCAAATTTATCCTAAGGACTCATTTTGCCTGGCCTCATGCTACAGCGAAATAAAAGACATATGGGAAGAACTTGGACTAAATCTTTCCTGATTCTCTTTACCCATTCCCAGCTGCACTGAGGCCACCAATATAACCCCAGTTTTCACATCCTACTGTGAAGTACTGAGGTATTGAGGGGGGCAGCATTTTTTAAAAGGAAGGAACGTGGGCAGGTGGCCAGCTCATTGTCTAGCACAGGGATTTTTTTACAGTGTGCTGCTGCACTCATTTAGACTTCAGTGAAGGTTGAGTGAGCCCCAGCTGGAGACTGGACCACTGACCCAGAAGCTGGAGATACCCAGAAACATGTATGGGACTGGCAGCCTCCCTCTCTGAAGCTCAAATAGAATTACTTTATTTTACACCCTTCCTGCACACAGGGAGGAAAAAGCCTCTTCCCGTCAGTTCATCCTGTACTGATCCTAAACTATCAATGCCCATCTCATGACAGTGCTCACTCCTCACCCAGGCTCTGCAAGGAGCAAATGCACTAGGAGCATCCCTGTATTGACAGGATAATTACTGAGGTTATTTAAGTTGAAACAGTCTGAAGGAAAGAAATGGTAGGTTTTTGCAAGAGTGAGTGAAAGCAGTTGTACTGATACTCCACATCCACTGTGTGCTTTCATGGACACTCACTAAATGTGTGCCTGCTACCAGAAAAGATCTCAAGTAAACAGCAGTAGAAATAGCACAAATGTCCAACTTAGGCTTCACTAGCTGTATAAACACAGTAAATATTGCAGAATCAAGTGTCCAATTCAGTATTGCAGTAGGCATTTGAACTGGGGAGAATAGAGACTGAGTATCTCTGCCACTTCTATATTCAACCTCATTATACAAAAACTACATCGGATTAACAAATATGTTTACACTATCTGAAGATATTTAACTTGGCTTGAAATTCAGCAGTTTTCAGGGAATCCTTCCAGACCATGGGTTTGCAAAGCAGGGATTTCCTCCTATCAGCCCCACACTGCACCACCTTCAGGAAACACATTTTGATCTGTTGCTTTCAAAGCAGCAAAATGACTACTGGCTTAGTGGAGCAAACTCATGTAACTAACTGGAGCATCTCTTTCCTTGGAATAGCAGGTCTACACAAATGTCAGCTATGGCACTCTCTCCCCACAGTAGGGTCTCTGTCCTACCAGGAAGAAGAGGAACTTGAATTTTTTTCTTGGCAGTTTTTCTTGGCTATATAAGTTGCTGGGCACTAATCCCAATCTAATGAAACACTTGTGAACCCACTTATTTCTGGGCATAGAAGTATTTCTGTAAGAGATACAAAGACAGCCATAAGAATTTTTGGTTCATCAGTGTGACTTGTTGTGTTGAACAGAAATCTTGAGTCTGGGAAAACAAAAAAAGAAATATGTTCTAATCCTGCAGAAGGACCCTTATTAAGAGCTGGATGGAAAGGCAAGATTACAACCCTTTGTAAAAACACAATAGCTAAAGCTGTGGGAGCAGGGACCCTGTGCTTGCATGAGCTTTGGGAATCCTGATAAAGCAAATCTCTTCCCGGTTTTGTCAGTGGCATTTTGCAGTCCTGTTTCTTCACTTACAACACTACTTAATCTAATACTTTACTCTTCAATGTAATTAAAAAAACAGTTACACTATAATCCAAAACTACAATTGTAACAGATACATACACACATGCCAGAATTTACTCCCTTCTCCAGCCAAAACTGTATACTAAAACTACTTAAGCTGTGTCTACACAGACTTTTGGGCAGTTTGCAGAAACCCAGCTTTTCAGTAAAAACCCAGCAGTTGTACTGCTGTCAACACTGAACTCGCCTTAGCACTGTCTACAGATGCTGTAATTCCACTTTGATACCACGTTGTTGCCATGTGAGTTACAACCAAGCTCCTACAAGAATACAATATCTCACTTCCAGTTATCACCTCCCACTCCCATCCTTCCCACAAAACCTCTCAGTTTCTACTATCAGATGAAGCCTTGACCAAACCAGCTGGGTCCTGAAGACACAGACAGAGCACTGAAGCCCTGGAGCTGGACCTCTGTGTATGATTTTACAAGCAGGATGGATATTCCTTGGAAAACGACCTACTGTGATCCCCTGATCCTGCTGCCAGACAGAGCTTGGTCTAGTCAGAGATATACATCAAAGCAGTCTAAAAGCTCTAATCTGTGCCTATCTACCCTTGTCCTCTGAAATGGAAACTGGCAATCCCTCAACATGCAGGTGCTTTGGTTTCCCCTCTATCCTAAGCCAAAGACAAAAACATCCCAAAGGTGTTTTTTGGCTTCTGTGTGGTTTTTAATTCTTTGAATAAAGCACTTTTATGTGTTGAAGGAAATGAAGCTTTGAACTCTGCTAAAATAAAGACTAGGGAACACTTTTTATGTAGCTGTTGGGGTTTTTTAAATAAAAAAAAAAGTATTGTCAACAACATTGGAAGGAAGCAGCCTGTAATTTCATGCTGTTGCAAATTGTCAGCTGCCTTGCCCACACAAAGTCATTTAAGTGGGGGAGTGATACTCCCCAGGAAAATGAGCCAGTAATGGCAAATACAGCCCACTGCAGTGAGATCTTATTCTCCATCCTAAGTTCTTTCCCACAGTTTCCCTATAATAACTTTTTGGTGGCTAATTAATGTGAATAAGAATTGTGAGAAAAAGCGACTGCAATACCAGCAGTCCCACAAGGTCAAGGACACAGTGCCTTTTTCCCCCTTCACTTGGATATCCTGACACTTCCACTGGGATGCTATGACAGGGCTATGCCACTGGCATTACTGTACCTGTTTAGTGTCTACAAATAGAGACCTTTTTTCCCTATCACCTTTCATGGACAAGAAAAGGCTTCCCATTCAGCTCACACAGTCATGGGAAATGGCAGCTGCGCAACACTGGAGTATCTGGACACAAAAATTGGACTGACCTACTTTGCAGTTGGAATGAATACACACGGGCTAGGAGATCCTGTTCTTACTTTCAAAACAGCAAGCTCATGGAAGAACCAGGAGAGCTACAGAACCAGCAGACTGTGCATCACTAGGTCAACATAAGAAAGGTAAGAGGAAATGTCACTTCCTCATGCAGAAGAAGCTCAGAAATCTGTGGAGCTCAGCTCTCCATGCCTACAGAAAGCATTCCTCCTACTGTAGCTAGCAGGACAATGCAAAAAAGAACAAGCTATTTTTACCTCTTGGGAGAAGGAAAAGCTCCACTAATGTAAAGCACTGAATTTTATAATCTGTAAGTTAATAATGTCTAATGTCAAGTACAGAAAAACAGTATTACAAGGTAGAATGAGGGTTATCTAGTGACTTTTTTTTAGTAAATAAACTTCAAGGGTATTGCATGCTTATACATTTCTCTTCAATTTGAAAGGACAGGCTGAAGCACCAGTGGTGTGAGGTGCTCACAACCTGAGAGCAGCAGTAAGGTGCCTGGAGTGACCCTATTTTGACAACAAGGAATGGCAAGGATCAATTATTTGGAATACTTCTTATAGGTTACCATACTTACAATGGGACTGGCATTGATGTAGTCTGAAGTGTCATGGCTGCTTTCACCTTTCAGACATATCCTGGAATGGTCATCTGCAAAGGAAAAAACAAGAGAAGAAAGTTTCTATACTAGTATTCTACCCATTTTATGTTAGACAATTCAAAGTCAGATTAATGTGCTTTCCAAGACAGGAAAATATCAGAAAGGATATTTCCTTCTGACTCCCAACCTAGCCATAGGGTTGATACAGCCACAGTACCACAGCCTGACTCAGACATGAAACAATAGAATATTGCAGAGACTCAGTATCACAAAGCCTGTTGTCATGAGATGCACTGTGGTGTGCTACACCTCTCATAGGAAAAAAAGAGAATCTCTTCTGTTCAGGGAGTTTAAGATTTAAACTAGGCAAATCACTAAAATCACTAAACCCCCCCCCAGCATTATAGCAAACATTCCTGTGCTTGCAGGGTCATGGAAGAGGGAAGCTGATGAGACTTTGTCCACCTGGCTTCTCTAAAATAGGAACAGCAGGGACATGGAGATAGAGCTGAGAGCTGGACAGTAAATTAATCTGTCCTGGTCAAAGACCACTGCTGTGTGGTGCTCCACTAGTGACGTGGGGAGACAATATGACCTGGAGATGATCATGGGAGAGAGAAAATGCCAACTATTTCACTTAAAGTACAACTGGAGCACACACAGACATCTTATACTTCAGACACCAGTAAAGAAAACAGCAGTTCTGGACACAGGAGACTCCTGTTGTTTGCCCATCACCACAATTATTTCATCACTTTTTAACCTGGAATTTTACTGGTGCTAGCTCCATTATATTTCAAGCTGGTACACCCCAAACTCTAGTCCCTTTTAAAAAAAATTATTTCTACATCAGAACACGTATAATGGATGGGTTTTATTTGTCTGTACTAAGGCAGAGACAATGCAGATATCTGCATCTATTCCAATCATCCAGACTCACTTTCTGTTATGAGAAAAGAAATGTTTCTATATGATGAGTCATTTCATCCTGATTTAGCTGTCACAAACAGGCCAAATTGTGTTCAACAAATGCCATTTCTTTCCACTGACTAAAGAAAGAAAGCCCAGACCACACTCAGATAATTTTAGAGATGTCTAAGTCTATGTATGAATCTCAAACAACTTGTACCTGACACATAACCAGCACAATTTATACTTCTCAGGAAACCTACCCTGCACAGTATATGGTAGAAAGAGGTTGTGGAGCTGCCCTTTCTGTAACCCTATACAGCTGAACACAGAGAGTGATGTTTTGTGAGGACAGAGGATCTTTCCACTGATTTTTCAAACAGACAAAGAGGACCTTGTCTAGTGGCCTGAGACACCACTCCAAGTTGGCTGTTAAGTACCAATCATTATTTTAATCATGAGGAATAATAAATGAATTATCAAACTTATAAGGACCATACAGCAAGGTAGAGACAGAGAGTTTGGGCTCTGCTTAGGTTTATTCAACAGCAATGCCATGGCAGTTCAGTAGATGAGCAAGACAAAGGGATGTTTGTAAGAGTGCTGTTTATAGTCACTCCATCTCACCCAACAGTGTCAGCAATCTTCTCCTGGAATAAGATTAGGGATGCACAAGTCATGTCAAATAACTGAAGAGATATTCTTTACTATTCACATAAAATTACTTTCCCTGCTAAGGTTTGAGGATAAAGAAGACAAGAAAGGGAACATGCTCATGAACATTATTCTTTTCCACCCTACTTTGGCACCACTGCACAAAAAAAACCAAAACATAAATAAGAACTTTAGACACCTCAGATCTTGGGCTACCCAATATTTTTTACAGGAGGCTTTGTAATGAGCAATGTCACAGAGTGCTCAAAGAATTGCAGCTCTGCAGCCTTCTGGCTTTGCAGGAGGTACACAGGTTACACGCAGTAAATGTGGTCTCACATACCTTAAGCTAAGCAAGCACTCAGGATAAGCCTTGTTCATTGAATAGCAAAAGTGTTTGAACTAATCACCAAAGGAAATGTGTGAAATGTTTTCAGAGGGATGAAGGAGAGAGAGCAGACAGTGATTCATCAGCACTTAGCAAACAGATGTCAGGGTGACTCTCCAATAAGAGTCAGGTGTGAGATCAGTAACTCACGGATCTATTTCTTTTAAAACATAGTGTTTTATCCAGATTTAGTGTTTTATCCTCTGATTTAGCGTGCCATGCCATTATCTTGCAGTCTTGGAGGGTTTATCAGAGGGCGAGACATGTTAGGCTTGGTAGTGAAAAGGTGTTGGGACTTGGTATTTGCTCTTAGAAAAAGGAAGTGTACAAAAAAGGTTGTACATGTTTTTCTGCATATATCAAGAGTTTGCACCCATGTGTGCTGCTGTTGCAGCATCAAACATTCATATTGACAATGAACAGATTGTGCTTGTCTATGCCTGTTATCACCTCAAAGCTTCTAGGAACTAGCATAATAGCTCTTCTGAAACAGGCAGGGGAAGAAGAAAAGAAAAAAAAAATAAACCAAAAGAATACCATGGACACCAGATTGTTACGTTAACAATGAGCAACTATGGGGAAAATGCTGAATGTACAGCATTTCTTTTTTTTTTGGCAAACTGCATATTGATTATGTGAGAAGCAGGAAAAGCAGGAAATACAAGTAAGGAAGGTATGTCAGAAAAGGAAGATACATAAGCTCAATCTAAATAATGAGAAAGAAAGATGAATGAAGAAATAGGAGAGAGGTGGTAATAAGGAAGTGAGAGAAAAGACAAATGCTGTTACTAGCTACTGCAATCTGGCCAAGCTACAACTCGTCATCATTTTAAGTATTTACAATAGCTGCTGCTGAATGCTGAGCTGCTTTGCATTTGCTATTGCTCCAGCCAAGCCACAGCTGAAAGAAAAGCAAAATGTATAGATGGATACATGTGGCAGAGAGAGAGGCTTCCTAAATAAGAAGGTTAATATTAACCTGTAGCTCCAGAGAAACACAGCACAACGTTGGATTTTATATACATGTAAAATATAAATTATAAAATATAGAGGATAGAGCATCAAGGACATGATATAAGCAAACACACATGAGTTTACAGTACATAAATCTCAATTTTCAGACTGAAAAAGCTATGTTTTGATGTCTACACATAGATATCTTCATGTGAAGTGGTAAATGGAGCTTGATTTAGGTGGCTAAACATGGAAATGGACTGTTGGAGAAACTGTAGGGTAGATGAGACATTGCACAAGGAGAGGAGAGGACACAAGATCCCAAGACTTTTACCCTATTAGGCCAGCATCTGGAGCTCACACAGGATACACAGCGGCATCCTAAAGCTATTCATTTCACTATAAACCAAATACCAACTGTGGCCACTGCACAGCTCTCCTGATGTCACTGCAGGGACTGGTTCCTCACTGGCTCTATCAGGGGCTTTGACACCTGGCTCACATGGAGGCAGCTACATGGAGACACTTAAATTCAGGCAGCCTGATCTACTCTCACAGACTCATGCCCAGAAACTTGGTTTCAATGCCTCAGTGTAGGTTTCTACTGATATTTGAGAGTCCTAAAGACACTTGGGCTAGCAGGCAGGAGGGTCACAAGTCTTCCACAGAGCTGTTGTTATACCTACTAGTGCCTGGGTACCTTGAGTACTTTGGGCATCTCAAACAACACTGGATTCCTGTGCTTAAATGACTTAGTCAAGCATAAAATGCCATTACTATCTGAATTATTATCTGAATAATTATTATTAATTAGCAATAATTATTATTGACCAATACTACAGTAGTAAGTAATGTCAATCTTTTATTTCTCTCACAGTGGCCCTGCAACTTAATGAAGATTATTTTTGTTGTTAGATGGAGATTGAAAGCTTGTAAAAGTAAGACTCATATTTTCTCTCTGTCTTTTGTTTCCTTTTAGTCAGATACTTCTGAAGGAACAGAATCAACAAACAAGGTTGAAAACAAGGAATATGAGCAAATTTGGGTTGTCTGAATCCAGGCATCACAGAATAAAGCAAATCTTACAGCAATCAACCTGGCACATCCTGTCTGGATCATCATTTTCTTCCTTCTAGATTTAGACTGATTTTTGGTTTTTTTTTTTTTTTATTTTATACAAAGCACTACACAGGACTCCACTGAATTAAGAAAGTGAAGAACTACTGAGAAATTAAAGTAGTGAAGCCTGAAGACTATGAAGAATCATAATTTGCTGATTATTATTATTTTGGCTATAGATGATCTGCAGAAAATGGAGCTTTTCTCTTTGCTCAGAACTGCTGCTTCCTTCATTTCAGAGCACTATTTGCACATGTATTCATAGCATGGATAATGCACATAACCCTCTGCTCAGGTGTTCCCATCTCTGCTGCACAATCCCAGGCTATGCCCTCAAGGCAAACAAGGCTCAGATCTGGGTGCCTGTTCTGCCCCTAAATGCTCTGCTCTCCTTTAGAGGAAAGGCAAAGCCCAGAGATAAGCAGGTTGCTTAAATATACACCACGCCCCATGGACCTGGCTGTGGTGGACAGTTTTTGATAGATGTTCACTGCAAAAAAGTTGTTTGCCGAATGTTTAAAATATCTCTATATATTAATGGTGTACAAAAATAAAAACATGCAGTCTTGACTCTGTTGAGATGGCTTAATTTTTCAGAGATGCAAAAAGAGAAAAAAATTGGAAAGCTTTTTTTGAGCTGCTCATGTATTCATAAACAAAATAGGCATCAATAAATTATAGCACTAAATATCAACACCGTGTGCCCTAAATTATAGCAATCTGATTCTTGATTTGATAAAAGGATACAGTTTTGTTAATTTAGAAGGTCCAGATAACTTGTTAGTATTTTTTAAACTAGTAATTAGTTAAGTGCAGTGTCAAGGTGTTCTGCTATCAAGTATTTTAAAAGCTGCTTGTATAGGAAATAGAAAAGTTAGGTACAAGAGTAAGCTATGAAAAAATTGTGATACTAATTAGATGAGTTATATAATCAGTAAAAATAATACTGTATTACTTCAAGACTGGTTTAGAAAGAAAAACACAAAGCAAATACAACATATTAAAGCTTCTTTGAAGCCTTTCTAAGAGGAAATCTTCTATGTGAATTGGCAATCTTTTTCTACCTTGTCAAGGTGATTATGAATATGAAAGGGGTAAGGAAACACTAACAAGGCATTACTCTGTGAGAATTCACTGAATGTAAAATAACAGCTCTGTAGAATATCAAAAGCATATCACGTTTGCTTCTTCATACATTGTGAAGCAAATCTATGGCTTTTTTTTAAAATAGTTTTAATGCCTAACACAATTTAAAAAAAGTGGGCAAACTGGGCCCTCTTATCTCAGTCTAATCTTAGAGTCTAAAATAACCATCACCTTATCCAAATTTAATATTGTTTAAACTGTATGCCAGACTTTCCATCCATCAACAAAGTAGTAAGTAGTTTAAACATATATAACATGACAGCTGTTTACCAGTGCACAGCAACCTCAGAAATTGAAGGCAGGTAATTTTGTGCAATTCAGTCAAAAAGGAAATTTCCCAGCGCACTAATATTTGTAATAGAAGTTTCCACATGGAAGAAACAAAGCAAATGTATAATTTTACCCTTTAAAATGTACTAAAACACTTAAAGTTAAAACTTCAGACAAATTACAGTCACCCTATCCATGTCCAAATACCTTCACCAAATCACATTTAATGGTATAAGAACATGCCTTGGAAGAAGCAATGGCAGAGAGACACTGACCAATGGCTAGTCAGTGCTGGCTGATACATCCATGAGGTACAATATGAAATATGGTGAAAAGAGACAGATTACCTGTCACTGTCCCTGAGTGTATTTAAAAGACATGTACATGTGCTATTCAGAGATGTGGTTTGGTGGTGACCTGGCAGTGCCGGGTTAACGACTGAACGTGATGATCTCAGATGTCTTTCTTAACCCAAATGATTCTGTGACACCCAAGTTAAAAGCCTCTGCTCTTTAGCACTGTCACAGCCATGATACTTCTGGATTCAGAGGTAGAAAAGCCTAGTCTGAAGTTTTCTATCTTATAGCTCATTGAATCATGAAGACACAGTTTCTACATTAGTCAAATAACCAGCACCAATTTCTGGCAACATCTGTAGCTCCCAAGCTGCCTCTGTGGCAGCAACCAAAACCAGTCCAGCTTAATTTATGAGCAGGAACTTGAAATATCTTAAGATAGTCTGACTGTAAGTCCATATTGATGGAACACTTCAAGCAGGAAGATTAACTTGGATCAATACATATTTTCATGGAAAATTATCACTGCCTATCATGTCAGTTAAGTGCTGCTTTTTTTCAGGATGTAAAAGGGCACAGAAGGCTTGCACTACTTTAACTTTCATGGTGACTTCTTTAGAACTTCTCAATAAGCCTGATCCCAAAACACATGGAAGTCAGCAAAACTTCTGCTGTTGCCCCAAAAGTCTTTTGACCAGCACCATATTTACTCAGGAGAATTAATACTGCTAAGTTGCTGTAATCCTCTCCTGAGTAGAAAAGAATTGCAGAAAGAGTCACTACCTAAACAAAAGAGACAAACCCTGCTGAAGCAAATATACAGCGACTGATAGGCTCAGTTAAATTACCATGTCCTTCCAAAAAATCTTCACTCTAAATCTGGCTATGACATTTACTTAACGTGTTACCTGTCATTTCCCCATTTCTAAAGGAGGAATACTACTTACTCAACATTCTCTTAGGGAAAATTAATGTTTTCAGGGTACTTTAAAAATTAAAACAGCTATATATGTTTGCCAAGCTATCCAGCTGGATTGTGGGCATGCTGATTGAGAGCGTTTTGGTTGCTGTGGACTGTGCATATATTCTCAGTTTCATTTTTGTTTCATTGGTTGCTTAATGAAATATGTGTCCATACATTACCAATGTAATCTATGATATATATATATATATATATATATTTGCATGGCAAAAATATGTTACTTTTATTTCAAGCTCAAAAGGTGGCTGCTTACAGGAAAGAGCAGATTCTAGGAATATAAAGATTGGTTCCTTTTTTTTCATTATTTTTATTTTTGTGTATTTAAAGAAGCCTTGCTGAGAGAAGCCAGTTTCAAACTTACCCACTGAAGCCTAAAGGGGCTCCTTCAGTACAGCTGAGTATCTGATAAACAGATTATCTGGCTCTGCCTCTAGACTGCTTGTATTACTGCTGGATGGACAAGAGACCAACTTGTCTCGGTCAGAAGAAGAGACTTCTACTGAATAGCTACAGATGCCACTCTTGTACAGACAGTATATTCCAGCACTGACAATCACTCTGGCTATGGAATGTGGTGAGACAGCACAGCTCCAGCAGCAGCGTTATGTGGCACAGTTGTGCATTTTTGTAACATATATGCAATCTACAAGGAGACAAACAGGGTCCGGTAAGACAACAGGACATGCACCCAAGCCATAGTTATAGCACAGCTTTCCAGTACACATAGAAACCACTCAACATTGTTTACCTGCCTTCTGCAGCTTTCACACCACCATGCAAAAAATATTGGGGAATGTATCAAGAACCAAAATGCCATGATGCAAAGGGAAGTGTACATACATGGCACCACGGCCCGGGAGCGGTTCTTCTGGACATTCTCCTCCTGCTGTGCCACGCTGCTGTCGTTGGGCTCAGCCTGGTAAGCACACAGAGCTTCCCACTCCTTCTCCAGACGGTTCTTGTTCTTCAGGTGATCTTCCATGTAGGACTGGAATTAAAAGAAAACTGCATTAAGCAATGGCTTAGCTAGGCTGAAAGCTAAGCTTAAAGGATTTTTCTCAAAGCATGGGAATCCTGAGCCTTGGGGGAAAAAAGAGGCTCAGTTTTAAGGTTCATTTATTTACTTAATAGAGAGTTGACTTCAAGCTTATTTGTGCTATAAAAAATGAGAATGATAAAATGTACCAATGGTAACAGAGAGGAAATATATAAAACATCCAGTCACTGAGCTTTAGGAGAAAATTATTTCTTCTTCAGTACCTAGAAAATGTAAGCCCAAATGTCTCTTTCATCAGGCAATGGAAAAGAAACAAAGTTCAACTGATAAAAATTACTACAAACAGCAACTTCTGTCAAAACAAAGGATTTTACAACTAAAGTTCAAGCACATATGCATGTCACAACAGTGATAGAAATATTGAAAATAATTTAAAAATTGCCTGGCTGAACTGTTGTAGCTCTGGGTCATCAGAAACTCATCAGAAACTCCTGCAGATGAACAGGCACAGAGGGCCTTGAACTGAGGAGGTGTTGTTAATTATTATTAATATATGTTGTTAAAGATTGTACATTGCATTCAGTTAACTGTATTGGGAAAAGCATCACCAAAGAAAACTGTCTGTGGCAGGAATTATGGGCCTCGAAGTATCTTGGTGCTGGTCTTAAGATTTTGCAGATCTCCCAAGGCTAGAGCTCCAACAGTGGATAGGAATTCAGCTCCAAAGATTTGAGAAAAGTGAATCTAAGCCCTTTTCCTTCACCCCATGGATCAGAAGATAATCCAAGTATGTGAGGGGAGAAGAGCAGAAAGCAGGAAGAGTGGGGAAACCCAGAAATCTTCCCTTCCCATTAACATGAAAATTAAGAAAGTGATCACCTGCTTATACAGGCTCATAACCTTGCAGAGCTTCTACAAGAAGCAAGAGAACCATCTCACATTAAACCCTGTTCGTATTTGTAAATCAAACACCATATTGCCTGTACCAGGTAGGCTGAAATTAACATTCCTAAACAGATTTAAAAGGACAGACCATTCAGGAGATAGGCTCAGGGCTGGGGTCAATAGCAGAGCTTCTGGCCCAAACATCAGTCACACTGGTTATTGTTGGAACCTTCTCTAATATAGCCCAATCTGTAGCAAACCTTGTCTAGAAAAAGCTCCCAGAAAGGATTCACTGTAAAGCATAGAAAGCACTTTAATTGCTTAGAAAACCCTTTCCATAGACAATCTTTCTGATGCTGAATTGTTCTTCCTAAATGTGCTTTAAGGAAGAATGGCTCTTGTGCCCTCTCTACAGGTTTAACAGAAGGTGTAAAAAGCTTGCAGCTTGTCCTCTGCCAAACAGGAGCTCTGCTGTTGTGCCACTGTGCTTCCCACCTGGCTGGCAGGGCAGGATACAGCTCCCTGTTGCAGCTTGAACAGTTTTTTGATGACAAAGAGCCCCTGACACACAGCTTTGTTTGGTGCAAGGTTTATTGGGCGCTGTCTTTACACAAGGTTTGTAAATCAAACCTGGTACTGAAAAACCAATTCAAGAAGCGACGCTTCAGAAGGGACGCCTTTAAGGACACAGAAAGATATTGCATTAGAAGAAAGGTTTCTAAAGGAGGTAAAAAATAGTGGTGGCCTAGATACAATCAAAACACCTATTGTGTGATTGCTTCTTTTCTATAATGAAGGAAGAAGCATTGCAGTGGACAGAGCTGTGACCTGATGGATGTGGAGCGGGGAGAGCGGCGTGGCCCCGGTCTGTGTCAGGGTGTGGGTCTGGTAACATGTTCCCAGCATTAACTTGCAAGTTAATAGGAGGAAACAATCCTCTAATAGTTTGTTTTTTCCTTGTCAAAAGGCTGTTGCTACCGGGGAAAGGAGGGAGAATAAAGATCCTGTTCTTTTCTCCTAGCAAATCTGTGCCTGGATATGTATACTGGAATCATAGGGAAAAAAAAAAAAAAAAAAAAAGATAATCCCTCCAGAGCAGAGGCTTGCTGGTATATAAGAATTTTTATGAGGCAAAAGGAAAAAATAGTAAAATCTAACAATACCACAGAGCCAAGACTGCTGGCTTCAGAGCAGCTGTTTAGCATGCAGCAGAGATCAGGCAGTCAAGGACCAGCCCGTAGCATCTTCCCATTTTAAACCACAGTTTTATAATCTGATTCATTTTGACATGCCCATCACCAATGTCCCACAGACTTCAGGGACATTTTATGCAGATATACAGATCTGCCAACACTGAATCTCTCCAAAATCCTGGTAGGTCCACAAAGCTGTAGGAAAAGGGCCATGAACATTTGCTTCCTAAGGCAGGACTGAATGTAGTAAGGAGCTTTCTGTTAACTCCAGCTTGTCTCTCTAATGATTTCAAGGATTGTATTTTAAAAAGAAATTTAATTTCATTTTTAAATAATCTGATCTGTCACAGTTAAGGTAAAGTTTACAGTTAAGGTAAATTGACTGCTTTTATTGTACATGAACTTTCAAATAACTCAATGTTCTTTAAAAGTTATTACTTCAACCTTCATTTTTCAGGTAATCTTGAGAGTAAAGATACATGAATTTTCAAATGAAAACACACTGAAATCTTTACTTTAACCAACCATTTTTTGTGTGGTTTGAATTCCTGCATCACATGGATCAGATTCACAGAGCACTTCCTGACAGACCTTGAAGAAGCGTTTGACTATTTGAATGGACCCATGGAAGGCTCTGCCCAATATGGACATCTGCTTTTCACATATTTTTAAAAGCTACTGAGAAAGAAGTTTGCTTTAAAACATTCAGGAGCCAGACAATTCCCTCAGAGTTAAGTAATCTTTCATTTACAGTCCTTCAGAGCCCCTACGCTCATCCCCACTTTGCTAAACAGAAGCTTAGTGATTTTGAAACACTCTCTTGGGAGCTGCTGGATGTACATTAAATTGAGTGGAACTTCTGATATTTTAGAGATTGTATGTCTACTCAAATCCACTCCTTAATTAGGATGTTTTGATGAGACATTCTGCAGTGTTTGCATGGTGCAAAAGAAATTCATTACCAACGTGTCAAACACGCACATGATTGTCCTTGTCCCAGAGCAGCAGGTAAAACAAATAGAGGTTGTCACCACTGTTATTGCAATGCTCCTCAAGCCTGCTGAAAAAAGCAGAGGTCTAGCCTCACCAATATGTGCACAACAAGGCAAGTCCTGCAATCCCAAGTATATGCTATTATTTAAACAAACACCATCTGCTTGCACAGGTCTTCTGATGCACCTTAAATTCCATTAACCTTAATTTTCCTTCTACAGGGCCTGACCTGTGAGGACAATTGGTAGCCCGGTCCCTACTTTCTCTTGTTTAGACAGGGGAGATACTCTTGCTACCAAACATGCTGTGGGGATAAGGAGGATGTGCTGATGTAATGAGGACAGAGTGGATGTATTATAAAATCCATTATTACTGTGTGAGACCTGCCAGTTGTAAGGCAAAAGGGGAGCTCTCAGCAAGAGGATGAAAAGCTGTCCCAGGGACAATGAATGGGCTGAAGAGACACTGCCAGTGGCACATGTTAAGACAGATTTTATGTGGCTGAACACAGGCACAAAGAAAGAGCACAGTGGCCTGATTTGGCTTTGGTAGAACATGGCTTTGTTAGAGCTTCCTGTGTGCTCAGCTGATGTTGCAACAGGGTGTCAAACTACTTTGGTTTTCTCTATTTTTTCTTTACTCTTTTATCTTTGGTTTTCTTTATGTTTTTCTTTACTCTTTTATCAAGAAGGATATCCAACACATGCTCTGTGACTAAATAAGGTCAAAAATCTAACTATTAAATTCTAATTAACTGGTCAATCTTTAAACCATAGAATCACAGAATCATTTAGGTTGAAAAAGTCTCTCAGATCAACTGCCAAGTCCACCACTAAGCCATGTTCCTCAGTACCACACCTATATGTCTTTTAAATACCTCCGAAGATAGTGGTGACCCCACCACTGCCCTGGGCAGTCCGTTCCAGTGCTTGACAGCCCTTTCAGTGAAGAATTTTTCCCTAATATCCAATCAAAACCTTCCCTGGCACAACTTGAGGCCATTTTCTCTTCTCCATCACTTGTTACTTGGGTGGAGAGACACAATACTTTTTTCAGAGAGAGTACGGTTTGCATCTGTCAAGACATTTGCTTTAAAAATGCCTATTTTATTAGCTGATGTTCAGTTGCCACAATTATTTTTGACAACATATTTCCAATACAGTACTTGAGTAGAAACCCTTTTCAGGACTGAGGATGCATCTTTCAGTGAAAATATGAGCAGCTCTCAAATTGACAGACCTTGACATGTCTAATCGAATTTGAAATGTCAGCTGAAGATGTGGATGTGAAATTATCTTAATCCTTGTGAATGGTGACTGTTCAAACCCACACTGTTGACCCAGCAGTGTGGGAACCACTGCTTTCAAACTGCTGCTGCTTTTCCCAGAGATGCAGAGGGCCAGGCAGTGGTGTTATGCTTCCCAGGGTTCCTCAGAAGGAGGAGAGGAAATTCTAGAGGAATTTGGCTTAGCTATTATATGGCAAATTGTGCAGAAAAAGACTATACTTGAAAACGTTTGTTTTGTATTCTTGTCAGTTAATTTAAATAATGTGGTTTTTTGCCTTTGTTCCTCGCTAACTCATGGGTTGTATCGTTCTGGCCCAGGATGCCCCAGAATTCTTGCTACTCTGTTTGAACTTCTTTGTGTTCTTTAGTACACATTGCATTGACTACATGTAAGAGGAATACTTTTCTGCATAAATCCAATTTGCTTTCAACACCTCATATGATTTTGTCCTTCCATTTTCTGGCTTAATACCTTATCATTAGTGGCTTCACAGTAAATTTCTCTGTTCCCACTCGTATTACTCACAGTACTATAGAATTCAGAGACAGAAGCAGCCTATGTGATTACTTGCTTCCAGGTCTTCAAATAATGTCATTTCTTGTACTTTGCTAGAATCTTTCTAACATTTGGC